ACCGGAGCGTCCGACGGAGGCCGTGGGGTCGTTACGCGGCCGAGATCCGGGACCCACAGTCCAAAGAGCGGCGTTGGCTCGGCACCTTCGACACGGCCGAGGAAGCCGCCTGCGCCTACGACTGCGCTGCTCGAGCCATGCGCGGGCTCAAGGCTCGGACCAACTTTGTCTACCCGTCTTCCCCTCCTCACACCGCCGTCAACGACCATCTCCTCCCTCCGTTCAGCTTCCACAAGCAGTCTCAGCCGTCCGTGAAGAGCCGCAACGGCTACGGCGCTGGCCACTCTTCGAGTTGGCCGTCTGTAACGCCGTTTACTCAGTACCCAACAACTAATAATAACGACGCTGTTGCCTCTCCTTTGAACATGCTGTTCTTTAGAAACTTCATCAATTCCTCACCAAACCCATCTCCGGTTTATAACCAGTTTCCGTACAATATCAGTGGTTCTTCTTCTTCAGCTGCTTTGGTCAACACTGCCAGCTGTGGTCAACCTCATGAAACCAACATGTCAGCAAGTACTAATTTCAGTTCTACTAGTACTGGCTCATCATCTTCCATGACTGTAGCTACGTCCGTTCCTCTCATGGATATTACTACTTCTTCCACAACACCCACCACCCATGACGATCATTCAGATTTCTTTGCTGTGGAGCCATCTGATTCTGGGTTGTTAGAAGAGGTCATTCAACGCTTCTTCCCAAAACCCACCTCCAAGAAGTCAATGGACCCTCCAAAATCAGCTGACTATGGTCGCCATAATATGAACAGCATTCCTTCAAGTTCCAGCCAGGCCTCTTTTGTGTCTTCAAATCAAGCTCCTCCCTTTGATGGGCCGACAAAGAATCATCCTCATCAGCATGGAGGTGTATGCTATAACTTCGAAGAATTGCTGCCACAACCACAGCAGCTTGGAAACAGTTTCAGTGTTGGAATGGATTATCAACCACAAGTATCACAGACGACGCAGGCCGTACCGTTTTACAATGATCACGTGCCAATCAACGTCCAGCTTGGCGGCCAAGATTACTCCATGGTCGATAATAATATGTTCCAGTACCCTGAGTTCATGGGTGGTTTTGCGGCCAGGGTCCAGAACTGAAGCCTGAGAGACTGATCTCTCGAGTGATGGGCGATGCAAGTTATGCTTTGAAGTTCGATGAGGTAGCTGAAGCTTAGAGCTAGATAGCTAGAAAGAAAGTATGGATCTAACGAGTTTGCATGTATCTTCCTCTGACCTTAGGGTTTTTGTTTTCTTAGGAAGAAGAGTAATGGAAACTATTTACTATGGGTTTTGGTCTTGTTTTGTTTAGATTATCAATTATATATACATATGTTAGAACTTGTTGTCATGCAAGTCCTAGCTCGCTCATGTTTGCTTTTATATTGAGTTTTGAATTTATTTATGCGAAGCGATGAGATGCATTTTCTGAGCTGTGATAATTGCTCACTTGGGTTTAGGAACTTACAGTTGACCTTGGAAATCTCATCTTGCAAAGCCATGATTGGACTTTTCGGCTCTTATCTTCATTCCTTGTCTATTTTTAATTGTAAAAAGAAGGGGATGAGTGATTTTGCATTGCATTCGCGTGTATTGAGAAAACAGCTTTTGTCCAAAAAAAAAAAAACACAGAGAAAACAGCTCTCTCGCAAATTTTAGGGGAGGGGCATAAATGTCATACACAGTAGTTTTGTGAAAACGCTAGTAGGGAGTCCCGACCATCAGGTGGGATTAGAAATTTTGGGGTTGAGCCGAGTCCCGACCACCGCTGCCCAAGTTTCCAGTACTTGCTGCGTTAAAATGGCACAGGAATAAGGTAGCATCATCTAGTTTTTTACTGTACAAGATATATGTGGTCCTCTACCCTTTTGAACTTTGTTTCCTTTTCTGGAACAATTCACCTAACGCACTTACTTTGCCCTCTCCTCCTCTCTCTAGATAATGCCGTCTCAAATGTTCTAAGTACGCATAAATTGACATGTCGCTTGGGTTATGTATCGTTCTTGTTATTAAATTTTGTGCTCAACAAGATCATACTTCTTTCAGGCACACACTATCCTCTAATTGCTCCAGAGGAGATGCGACAGGGGTATCCAATTTTATTGCGACTATATTTTCATAATTGAAGTCTCTCTAATTAATACCTTTGGTTTTATTATTAGTGCATTTATTTACTAGATTCGTCAGTTGACTGGATATACTTATAATTATGTATATTTCGAGAGACAAATACTCTTACCACCGAGCTATGGACGATTGACAGAATTACATAATTATTAACATGCTTTCATATTTTTGCAAATAATTATAAAGTCATTTTATGTAGTCTTAGATTAATGTAATAAGATATACCAACTAATGGCAGCGGTCATTCTTGTTCTTTAATGTTGAAAGAGATCTCAAGTTAGAATAATTCAAATATAATATAATAATATTGCCAAATATACTTCACGTGCATAATAGTGTTCCAGAGATCCAACAAGTACTTTAGTTGAAAAGTTAGCTTGGAAATTTTGTATCGGTTGCTGGGTCAAATATGAAATTATGAGATGCATGTGTGCGTAGATATATACACACATGTTTGAAATGAAAATAAGAATTGAGCTATATTAATTAAGGCATAACTGACACGTAAGTACAATGAGAGCTTATTGATTTGTCCTAGGCCTACATGCGTGGGATACCTCACTACTAAAGCATAATTGGAAGAGCCTTACCCCTCAACTAGGGGCTTAATTAAACACTTAAGTATGGTTAATAATTGAGATCAATAGAAGATGGACCAGTATTTAGTAGGAGTGCATGTAGACGGTAGGGCTTATCTGGTGCATGAACAGTGACTTGCTCTGTTCATAGGCTATAAGTACTAGCAAGTATTTATCAATATAACCCTTTCTTTACTAGTAGTTATCAATATAACCCTTTCTTTGAGCTCCGAATGACTCCTTTAATAAAGGACGTTAGCTACATCTTCATTGAAAGCTTTTGGGGAACTACCATTCAACCAAAGCCTCCCGCGGTCTTTGCCTTTCTAATGTTGATGATTTTAACCAATATGGAGAATATTCATTAAGACTATTATAGGAAGCAAAATCGTGCCACTATTCATTTTGTTGTTGCACACCGACTTTTCAATGAAACCGTGAAACATAACATTACAGAACTTTCTATCAACAGAAAAAAAAAGTTTGCTCATACTTCAAAATACTGCTGAAATATTAACAATCTAACAAAATTACCAACACAACCTATGAGTTTGCAAAACTAAGTGAAATCCAGGTTCCTACTAAATAAACGTTTAATTATCTAATTGAGTTATAATAATTCACTAAATATTCAAATGATATTTCTTCAAGGTTGAGATTAAAAAAAATATAGGGAACTTCAAGAGATTGGCAGAGAATACACTTCATTAATAATACATTATTCAAAGCCTAGGTGAGTCCCATAGAGAGAGAGAGAGAGAGAGAGAGAGAGAATAAACAGAAAAATAATAAGAGAGAAGAAAGAAGAAAGAAAGATTCATCGAAATTATGAAGTCCTAGTCTATGTTAGTTAATGTAATATAAGTATTTATTTTAATAATTAATTATATTATATTGCAGTTTGCAGTAAATTGCATTATTTGGATAGGCGGAACCGCATATTGCGGTTGGTTTAGATGCTGTAAAACCTCAGTTGGTATTTGTGATATCCCGTTCCTAAATTAATATTCAATTCTTAAATTATTCAAGTAAAAGACAATTTCACCCCGAGAGTATTTTAATGAGTTCAAAATTAACTTTTTGTTTGGGAAATTGAGCCGAACTGTTGTGTCGGGCACGTCAATACGAGTTTAGACATGATGTGAGCTCAAATAAGAGTTTTAATGAAGAAGTTATGGTCAACGGAAGTGCAATGACACAATCGTAAATTTGTTGAAGTTGGGTTTTAAAAAATCTGTCTCTCTGTCTCTCTCTCTCAGGCGAGGACACTGCCGCTTTTGACGGCGATTCTGGTGTCGTCTGGCCACCAAACTCGACGCCGTAATTTGCAAAACGCTCCTTCCACCTCCTCTACACGACCCACTAAATTTCCAGACCTGATTTCTAGCTGTGAAGCGACTGGAACGAGAGGAAAAATCATGGCTTTTTTGTCCACGTTTCCAGCGATTTCGGCAACGAAATCCAACGAGGAAAGTATGTTTCTTTATCCATTTTTCGTGTTCTAGTTGTTTTGATAGTTGGTTTGGATCGATTTGGAGCCATGAGTGTTCGATTAGAAACCTAGATTTTGTCCGACTTTGGCAGCATTTTTCGGCCACTTCCCGGCCAAATTGGAGGTCGGCCTAGTTATAAAAGTTGCTCCCCTAGTTGCCATGTTCCCTATGTCGTGTCGAGCACCACGATATGCTCGGATTAGAATTTGGTTATCGTTTGATGCTTAAACGAATTTACGCATATTAGGCATTATTAGGGTTTAATATGTTCGGACCATCGGATTTTGACGAAACTTATAGGATATGTTAATTGGATTTTTATGAACCTATAGGAACTTTCAGATCATCAATCGGAGGTCATGGACCCCACAGGGGACCGAGTTGACCAATATAAGAATTTAATCGTATATTTAATCTCGGGTCTTATCAGACCATTCAAACTGTTAGAACTGTTGAAAATGGGCCTTGAAACTTTCTTAAGTTACACACATGTATTTTAAGGTCGGGGGTCAGGGTTTTGATTAAATATTTATGATTGAGTTATTTTATTAATTAAATATTTTAATTGCTTAAATAGGTACTCGGGCTCCACCAAACCCGCATAAGGGACCTCAAAAGGTCAGGCGAGTTTGGACGTATAATGAGTGGATGTTTGTTTTATAAATGAATTTTATGTAGTTAAAATTTTATTAATTGATCATGAATGAATTATTTATTGTTTTGCTTTCCAAACATACAGTTTGAATTCAAATGTTTTTATTAAATTTTGTTTATGAATAAATGTGAATGGCTTGGAAAGTAGAAAATGAAATGGTAACATGATTTAAGGATTGAGTGAGAAATAGTATTATAATTTTCCAGGAAAGGTTTTTGAACCACCATAAGTACCCAAAATGTTACCTTCGAATAAACTGTTGCATTCGGATATAATGATGTTCACAGAGATCATAGTTGTCTTCGGTTGAGTCAGCGCGTGTTTACAGTTGCCCCACGAGTCCTAGGGATACTCGGACCTTGAGGAGCGAGGAATGCGACTCAGGTTGACCAATTGTCTCCTGAGTTCTATGAGGAATGCGATTCAGGTTAACTTTGTGTTTCCGAGTTCTGCAAGGAGGTGTCGCTTATGTGACAATTGAAATTGACTGTATAATGTGGGAAATAAATAGAAAAATCATGGAATTGACGGATTTATGAAGGCTACACCATAGTGGAAAGGAATTATTATTTTTCAATGCTTTCAAATGATTTTGATGAATTGGTTGAATGTATGAACGGTTATATGAATGTAAATATGCATGCTTGATTTTTGTACTTATATAGAACGTGGATTAAATGAATTTTCAAATAGTTTTTAACAGTGGGGTTAGTATGTTGATATTATATTTTGCAAAACTTTCTTTTGTCCACTCACGCTTTTAATGTTTTGGGCCCCCAAACAGTAATCAAGTATCGGAGTACCACCATCGGGCATTCATCACCTACCACTCATCCACTTCCATTATGTAGGATATCCTTCTATAACCGTACTATTTTTGTAAATTAAATCAATTAGTAGGCTTTGATATTGCCCTAGGATTTCTGTAAGGCCTAAGGCCACACAGATTTGCTTTTGGATTGTGTGTGCTCTAACATTGTGCATGTTGAACGCTTGTGGATATAAGAAATGCATGTTGTACAGGTATAAATTATTGGGAAACTAGCAATTTATAGGAGAGTCTCTACCGATTTTTTGATTGAAGTCAAACCTTAAAAGAATTTTTGAGTTTTAGTTTAAAGGGCAATTTGATCAAGTGTGCTCGGCACCTGACAGATGTTGGATAAGCACAAGGTTCAACGCGGATTCTAAAATGGAATTTGGGTCGAATCCTGTTAGTATTTGTGATTTTTCAGTTTTGTGATCTAAAATGCTAGCCCTACAATTTATCTTTGGGTTTGCATCGATTGGTTTGATGTCTTCCCTATTGGTTGGGCTCCTACTTAAGATGATGATATAGTAGGCTGGGCCTTGGCCCGAACTTATTATAAGGTTTGGAGGAGTCGTGAGTCAAAGTTAGTCAAGGCCATGCACTTCACTGGGACTGCAAACTAAAACCTTAACATTGGATTTTTTTTTATATTGGTAAGCTCGTTTTTAGAAGCCCAGTATCCCTTAAATGGAGAAAATTAAACCTGGCTTTGTTGAGCCCAGCATGGAGCTAGGCCTTTCTTGAGTTCAGAAAGCCCCGGTAATGAAGGTTCTTAGAAGAGTGGCCCAAATTAATCTTTGGTTGAGCGTGGGCTACCAGAGTCAGACAAATGGCAATGTGCCCAGATTATATGGGATAAAAAATTAGTTCATTTTGGAAAAATCTGAAGCATTAAAAGAAAATTGATCCCCAACGTTTTTGCATCTTCGCTATATGTTGATGACAATCCAACCAAGAATTGAGAAGAAACTGAGGTATGCCAGTATCCATTAAAGATTCTGTCTTTAATTTTCTAACATGTGGTATTGAGGACTTTCTGTTGTTTCAACTTGTAGGATCAGAGTATTTCTGTGAACCCTCTACTTTTTTTTTTCTTTTTAGGTGCCAAAGCTTGGCATTCATGTGCATGTACAACCTAATTGGGAGAGTTGATAATAAGAATTTGATTGCTTCTACTGGTTTCATATATATATATATATATATATATACATATATATATATATATATTCTTTAGATTGTGAGAGACCAGTACCTTCCTTATCTTTTTCTCTTTTCAAAGCAGAAAAAGACATGTACCCTTGAGAATGTAGAGCATGATAAATTTGTGGGGTACCCTATAAAGATGTGTTTGATAGGGTACCATGTCTCATGATTCAATGCAACTGCACATTAAAAAAAAAGAAAAAAAAAAGAAAGAGAGCGGAAGAGATATATACAGAAGGGAAATGAAAGCTATAATGCTCTCTATCTTATGGATGATGATGATGACCATGACGGGTTTTTACAAGTAAGTGGTTGGAGCATTATCAAAAAGTGATGGAGATGTAGTTGGGTGGGACGTTAATGGATTTGATTATCACACCCGTGAGAGAGAGAGAGAGAGAGAGAGAGAGAGAGAGAGATTGATAGAAAAAGAAAAAGAAAAAGAAACAGACAATAAAGAAATTGCATGCCCTGCCCATCAATGTTTTAAATTTACCCATCATCTTTTGTTATCTTTAAATTATCTCGTCTCTCTTTGTTTCTATCTATCTTAAAAGGAAGTGTTTGAACAATTTTTTGCTTTGCTTGTTCTTCTGAATCTGCTCCTTCTCATCATCCCCATATATTATATTAAGGTGTTGAGTTTAGATTGCAATGGAGAGTGATGAACAAGTAAGCAAGAAGGACATAAAGGTGGAGATTCCAGCAGATGAGACTGAGAAGTACGTGTGTGCCGGGCTCTCAAGACAGCTGAGCATGACGAAGAACAATTGCCTCTGCTCCCCCACCACGCATGCAGGCTCATTCAGGTGCAGACTGCACCGTGCCCCGAGCCTCCAGCGCACTAAAAGCATGGACTGTCGTGGCCCAGCGTCTAAGGCAGGCTAAATACTAAATACTACCAGTGCTACTGCTGCTGCTGCTATGTACAACCAAAGCTCAGTAATTTCTAAAGAAAAATAAGTGCGAATTGTTGCTTATATATATATATATATACATATATGTATTTATTATGGCTCTTTGCTGAAGTTTGGAGTTTTCACCTTCTCCTTTTATTCTGCTCTTTGTAACCATTGTTTTTGTATTTAGAGAATTAAAGCATGGCGTTTTATCAAGTGTCTTATAATTTATGAAAAATTATTGATTTCGACAAGCCTTTTGCTTACTGGTTCTGTGATTTCTGCAACAACTACGCTAGCATCAGTAATAATATGGAATTGTTTCATACTGCACTAAATCTGGCTGAAACAGAGCCAACTTAGTCTAGTTCAAGCAGGCATCTTCAAGGCGCCATAGCCCTACAAAACCATAATTTGAATGAAGACATCTGAATTTTTTTTTACCTTGTTCAGTTGGAATCAAACCAATAAATAGTTCATGTTGCCCACAAATGGTATGCGTCTCATTTAAATACTTGCATCTGTGTGTGTTAAAACATTTTTCTATGCAATTTATAATTGCTATAATGTATTATCAAATTTTTTTCATCAAGATGGACATCCCAGAGGAGAACTTTTAACTGGAGTTGGATAATGGGCACATGGAATAACCAGAATATCTGAATGATGGTTACAAATAAAATTTAAACAGAATAACAAGAAGCAGTTGCTTCCAAACAATTCTGGAGACTGGGTGGGGGAAACAATGATGATCATGAAGACCACAATGATGTCAAAAGGCCAGAGCAAACATCATCACCACAATTATGCAGCACCAGATCCAATGCTACACATAAACCATGAAAAAAAAATATTTGAGTCTACTTCTGTAGTCTCTACTAATTTCCCCAAACAGTTGGATGTCTGTTTCAGCATGCAAAGTTTGATCTCAATGATACATGTGTATGCCTGCCTAGGCAAGCAGGCAGTATTTCCAACAATAGCAAAGCCATTCATGTTGCCGCTAATCATTTTTGGATGACACAAATTTCAACACAAGAATCAAAGTCACCTACCGACATATCACTTCATAATTGTTTCTGCAATAGGAAGTCAATTAAGTTGCAGACGCAATTATGTAAAAACAACAAAAGCAAGCAAGCCAATATTTCTTTTCTTTAATTCGGTCTTCACCAAGTTCTCTCTCTCTCTCTCTCTCTCTCTCTCTCTCTCTCTTGGGTTACTGATGATTGATTCACCAGTCAAATGAATAGGTAGCTGGGGAGCCGCTATTTCCTCACAAAATGACATGGTGGGAGGCAAGTCCTTAGCCTTTTGCTAGGTGCCAAAAGTCTTTCGGTTTGGGGTTTTACATGCATTATGGTTAAGTCCATGTAACACAGTACCAGGTAGTTTAATGTCATCTTCAGTTTGAGAAATGTAAAAGCAAGCAGCTGGTGATTTGAGGTGGGTTTATAATTATGTTTGTATAACGTGTCGGCCTGATAATGGGGTATAATTGTTGTACCTAAGACTTTTCATCTAGGTAACAAGTTTTTGTCTCTTCTTGTTGGTTTTTTGACTTCTTTGCTTTAAATCCTGTCATAGTGGGTTGTTTTATAGCATATTGTCCTAACTTTCCAAAAGGTTTCTCTTTGCAAATGAAAAAAAGGAAGAAAAAAAACATAATCTTCTACTATCCAGATTAATTTAATTTGCCAGATGAATAATTGGTTCAAAGGAAAAAAAAAATGTACAGAAATTCCAATACTACAGCAGTGCAATATGTCAGGTACATGAACTCCCAAGAATAAAATTTGATTAGCAGGTGAGGATCCAAGGAGGTGCAGCAAGGAGACAAGGACAGGTATTGCAGATTTGTGGACAAAGAACACAAATCTGGTCCCACAATGGTCATCTACAACTAATAGAGATTCACCTAGAGGCTAAAGGATTTTGCACTTGATCATGTCCTGAAAATCTTCTTTCTTATTATAAAAAGATTACATGAACATTAATGCACATTGGGGATTCTTAATTTTGGTTCCTAGTGAGTTACAAGGAATGAGGGAAAAAAGCGTAGTATAATATGTTACTCGTTGGATTAACCAAACCCAAGTGGATCAAATTAAACAAAAACCACTCAATTCTTTTCACTGGTTGTACTTCTGTTGGTGGACCACAACTTACTGAACATTCTTTTGGGTCTTGCAGGAAGCAAGCAAAGAGCTTTGAGCTTTGAACTTCTCCCAATTCCATCTGGGTTCAAATCATTTTCATCCAAATCATCATCTTCGGCGAGCTTCATTCGTAAAGTAGACATCTTGGACCTGGGAGACTTGAGGCCTGAGACACTCCATTGGTCATCTGCTGGCATAAGGCTAGAGGTGCTTAAAGGGGCTGGAGGCCTTGATGGGTCAATGTTATGTGTGGCTAGAAGTGCCCTTATGTTGCTAGGCAGCTCGGTCACTTTGCCACCAGCCATGGCAGCTCGAGCTTGCTCAAAGAACAGAACTTGGACCACTACCCGTAGTGGGAGTAGCTCATTTTGTGCAGCATGCATGCAGGCCTCCATTGAGAGCTTTTTGCAGTCTAGAATTCGACACAGCCTTTTCCTTTCACTCTTGTTGAGGTCTGGATGTGCCTGATATTTAGGCATAACGACTTTAATTAATATACATTGCTCAACATCAACAAGAGTAGTTGGCATATTCTATAATTCACTAATTTCTAAATCTTCATCACAACCTGTTCCAAATTAGAGCATGCACAGAGATATAATAAAGAAAAATTAAGATTATGTCATTCAAAATGTGGACCACCTAATCCCAATTGGTAACCAGTTGTGAACTTGACAAGATTTTAAGGTCAAGAGAGTTGGTCATCTGCTGATAATGGTGACCCACATTCTGAAATGTGACAGCTGAAATATACTCAGAAATCTAAATACAAAAAAAAAAACATGAACTATGGTAAATTTGAAAACCAGAATTTTGTTCTTATTACCTTGAGATAAATGTCAATTGCCCTGTAGAGATCATCGTGGTCAAGCCTTGCAAACTCTGGTATTGCCTCAGCAATTGCAATGAACTTTGACAGAGACAAATTGACATCCCTGCCAATTTCCTGAAGATACACATCCATAAGCTTTGCCACCTTCAGCTTTGAGCTATGTGCTGCTGAAGATGATCTTCGACTCTCCTGAAACTCAAAATCAATGTTCTCTGCTGACCGAGACCTTCTCCTTTCAAAACCAAGCTTGGACCTTGGAGGGCTAGTTGGGGGGCTCTGCCCCTGCAACAAGAACTGCTCCAAAATGGTCATAACTATGTCTACATCATATCGAGTGTCGGTTTCATATGACACAGAGGGTATTATCAAGTCACTGACGGTTGCATCCTCTAATTGAAGTCCAACTCTTCTAGCCAATTCCATTTTTGAAGAGGAAGAAGCATTAAGAATATTGGCTGCCTTCAAGAGTTTAAGCAGAAAACTAGTAGATGCAGCACCTTTCTCCACTGGAACTAAGCTTACAATTGATTCCAAGATCAACCTATGCTTTGAAGTTAAATCATTGGCAGAGTCTGAATCTGAATCAGATGCTGCTTGTTTATGGTCACATCCATTTTTTGAAATGTTGGGCAACCATTTAGCTGCATAGATTTTCAATGCATCTCCAATCAGATGAGACGGCATTTTCCCACCAGATTTAATAGCTATCATGGTTCTCCAATAGAGGTCTATGCCCAATTCTGCTATGTCTTCAGCCCACCATCCTCTGTTTGCAGGCTTATTATGCCTCAGGCTCTCTGCACCATTGCAGGACATGTCATCTCTACCCCTCCTGGAGTAACTATGCGACAAGCTAACCTTTGAAGGGTGTGTTAGGACTTTGGAAGCAATTGCCTCAATGCATCTGCTTGTGATTCCAAGGTCCTCTGACCACAAAGGAAAAGCCTTTGTGCTTTGCAGAGTGGCAATTGAGTCTCTCCACCCTTGGAGGATGCAAGAGTTGAAGAAAACCTCAAGCTTATAAATAAGGTTGCCCTTCTCAACATCCTCAGTCATCTGTAAGTACTCCGCGGCGCATCGAGAAGCTACAATGTTGTAGGCACTGAGGGTGATTGTGATGCCATAGCAGAATTTTGCACAGAGCTCAAATGCCTCAACCCCACTGGGAAAATCATGGAGCTGGATTATTTGGTGTTGTGAAGCTTCTTGATATTCAGAGCACAGCCTCTGCAGCCGCAAACACTTGGACAAAAGAGGAAACTGCGTGCCATGTGAAAATGAATCAATTTAAAGAAAAACTCATATGCACCGTTCAATTGAATTGCATCATATATCAACTTGAACATATCCCATAATCAAAATTTGGGAGAAGTTCATTAAGTTTACCTTGTGAAGCAAATATCTGCTTCCCTTCACTTGAATTATAAGATCACTTGAAACTTCAGAGGAGACTGGCCTGAATTCCGCAGGAAAAATAGAAAAATCTGTCAGTACCTTCATCAATGAATATAGGCATATCTAAAAAGTAACTTCATGTTCAATCAGATATGTACTCTTACCTTACGGCCTCAGTAGTGTAGAAAGTATCTGGCCGAGATCCAAGTTTCATAAACTTCATGATTGATTCTTTCTCCTTATTTGCTTCTTATGTGCACATCAGAAGCTCATTAACATAATTGAATTATATATCCCCAACTTCTTGATGCATAAAACACCAGGAGGCACACAAGCTTCTTCTTCCAGCAGCAAGCAAAAATGGAATAATTTTCCTGGATGAGGAGAGAGGATATCCAAGAACAAGGGAAAACCAAGAGCCCTTGCTGTTGTGGGTGTGATACTAAATGAGTTTTATTTATGTATATATATAATCATCAGAAGTCGTCAAAATGACAAAACTCAAGAGGATCAAACACACCAAAGCTCAGGTCCTATCAGTCAAATTCTATACCCCATGTGACTTGGACATGCAAACAAAGAATTAAAGTCACTGCAACTACAGCTGCTCTAAAACTAGTAGACACAATCAAATTGTGTTCAAACAAAAAAAATCATTCAACAAAAACTTAGCCCTGAAAGATTGTAAAATTGTGAACTTTGGGTTTTTGTAATAACTTGAATGAAAAATATGGTTTAAGTCCTCTCTCTCTCTCTCTCTCTCTCTCTCTAGCATGGCCATGCCATTGCCAGCGTGCAAATCAAAAGGAAACTCCCACGTGCTTCTCTCGAGCCCACTTGTGCCCTTCTCTCTCATGATTGCCACTGCATTTTTTTATTGCAAGCAGTAAGACCCCTCCTCTCCTTCTCTGATTATTTTTGTCAAACACTATTTTATACGCAGTATCGTATGTGTCCTCATTTCCCATTATTAATTTCTATAAGGGAATATTACAATAATTGAAAAGCTAAAGAGAAAATGTGTTTACACTTTTTATTTAAAAAAAGAAAAGAAAAACCTAAGAATACAATAAAGTAAAAGGGATGCCAAACGCATACAATAGGAATAGGATATGTGTATCGCTATCAAAGATAGGCTTTTGAGCCTTTTAACCATTCTCCACCCTACAGGCTCTACAGTAAGGCTAATGTCAAAACTGCCCTTTTGTTCTGCTGCAATATCGAAACTATTCTTTTTTTCTCATTTATGGCATATGGCCCCATGAGTGGGAAACTTTGAATATTATTGGTGTGACATGAAGAAAAAGATGCATGGATGATGTTAGAATGAGGCAAATGAAGGCTTTTTTCGGTCATAAACTAAACTTCCATTCATGTGAGGCGATAAATAATGCATTATTCTGGCAGTTGAAGGTCTTCTCTTCTTCTTCTTCCACATATTTCATTTTCACATGGTTTTGCGATATTTTCTTTTTGTTCATATGTAACTTCGATGCATGATGATCGTAACAATGAGGACTGACAGCAAAGCAGTAGGCCCCCATATTGTACACATATGACTTCTGATCATATCGTTTTACCAAGTGGCCCCTTCATAGTCGAACTAAATCCAATAGAAAGTAGCACTGGTATTGTTCATCTATAAGGTTTTCTTTCTTCATATATTCATATCTTTTCCATCTATAAGGACAAGAATCGACCTCTTTTCGCGTAGATGTCACGAGTCTATGCGTTTTTTCACAATCATTAGTGGTTGTTTACCTGTAGAAGCCGAAAATCTGTTCCAATTAAAGGGAAAACAAACAAAAAGAAGATAGGTGAACTGTGTTGAAGAGAGATCGATTTTTCAAAACAAAAAAAAAAAAATCCAAGGACTTGTCTACTTAAGTGTTTCACCATATTAGGGCATAATCACGGAGAGAATGAGACCCTTTTTATGTTATGTCTCGATCAATGTCCTCCAGATAACAGAACCTAAGCTTGTAATGGCTCGATCAATGCCCACCGTTTGTTTTTTCTTTTGCCTTTTTTGTTTGGGACGTTTGATATATCCAGGGCAAATGCCAAATCTAGGGCAATTGGCATGCTTGATATTTTACGGCTAAATGGAGGGTAAGCTGTGGAATGAGACTGAGTGGTGTCGAATACAGGTAAAGGTCATTGTGGGCATAAGTTGATGTCCACACCTTACGTGAGAAAGAGGCTACACCACAAATGAAGTAATGGTCCTCGTCATGCTGCCCAACGGGGTGGCCAACCGACAGTATGGGACCCCCCCACGGGCCCACATTCTCCCTATACTTCACTACTTCTTAGTCAGTGGGACCCTTCTAGTAGAAATTTGGGCCATTTACAGCAGTTGGCAACCAATTCTAATAGGCCTTTGGCAATATACTTGACCTCAATTTTGTATGTGAATGGAGATAGAAGTTGATTTATTACGGGATGATGCTTCCCTCTTGCCCATAGAGAGGCCTTTCGCCACACTCCTTGCCCATTGATTTTCTTGTATGGTTTCCTCCACAAAAGTTACCAATAATTTCATCACCAACTGTTGGTAATGGTTATGGCGAAATAGTTTTATTTTCAATTTATGTTATTTGAGAAATGTTTATATTGTCAATCTGAATTACATTTAATAAGATAATATACTGATATTATATACTTGGATATGCATTTCCCACGCGTAGGGAACGGTGAGGCTATATCCATGACTTTATCTAAGCTAGGATTCACAAGAAACACAAGGACCCCACAATTTGTATGCATAAAAATCATGTAATCAAAGTGAGAATTGATGAGAAGGGGCACCACAATCCCACTTTGGAAAAAGCTGAAAGAGACTCTGGTCAGTGCACTGGGGGGAGAGGGGAGGGGAGAAGACTGGTCCTTGCTGTAAATGTGAATGATACAATTCGTAGGGTCTCGAACACAACAAGATTGTGTCACTAGAATCATATCTGGCTCAGTTGCATACGTACAAAACTTGAAGCCCCAAAAAAAGATGAATTCAAGTGACAGACAGTGATTACACAAAGCTACGTGACCTTTTTGATCTTTCATTGGCCTAACAAACAAGGATTTCGTACCTCATCGCCATTTCCTTCCAGAGACCTCAAGGCTTTACCAAGATTGGATTGATAGGCTGAGATCAGTTAATGTGTATATGTCAAGTGCAGCTGTGGCCCTGCTTGACTGGTTATAATCAGTATGTCGTCTTGTCAAACTGTATGTCATTTGTTATAGCCCGCACTATAGTGCATGCATGGTTATTTTGTTAAGCCTAGCACTTCTCCAGCTAGCATATATAGGAGTGTGGCCTAATTCGAAATTATTTGTTTATTTGTTTCTCTCAGGGTATTAATTCATGTACATGATTTGCGTGCTGATTCTGTCTCTTGCATATATATTTAATCGATCATCTTTTTTCTGTTTTTGAGCTTCAGCTTAATTATTTTTGTTTTTATATATATATATATATATATATATATATATATGTGACAGTTGATTTGCAGTTTGTCTGTAAGATCACGTTCATTATAATTCTTCCCCAAGTTGGTATTCTTTTAGGTAACTAATAATGGCAGAGACTCTCACATCAGAGAAACCCAAAAAAAAGCTAAATTCCAAAATGAAACAGTTAAGCATTTGAGGGATCCCACATGCATGGCTGTGCCAATAAGCAGCTGCAGCCTGCAATTATATGAGTTTTCGTACCAGTAGATTCTGTATCACTAATCTAAGACTGCTGTTCTGGCTCAATAATGAGACGTGAAAGAGGAAAACAGCAAGCACAAAATTTCAAATCAACATTGGTACTTATGGCCTGTCGTCACTGATTTTTGGGGTTTGAGGAAAAAAACTTACTTGCAACGAGAAATAACACTATTTTGTTATTTCCGATTAATAATACTATTATAATACATAAAAGTGTTTTATAGCAGGGAGTAGAAAAAAATGTTATCTCATCGCATGAAAGTGTTTTTCCTTCTTAAGATCTAGAGTTTATGCCCTAAAGAAAAAAATAAAGTGGACCAAGAGATGTACTGATGAACTTAAAGAAAACGAGGAGAATTTTCATGGGTTATAGTGTTCCCTTAATCCTCCAATGCTTTTTCATGGGTTATAATTAAAAACTGAAGGGTAGGGCCTAAGAATAATATAAAGTGCTTTGTTAAACATTTTGTCTTTGTTGCATTACAAATGTCAATTGGCACATTGTTCTACAAGGCCAAAACTAATCATGGTTTGCTTTGAACTATCTGTCAGAGGATCTACAAGATCATCATCAAAGTAAATGGAGGGTCAATGTGAGAAGATAGAGAAGGTCTAAAAGGGTAAAATGCATGATAAATTAGGGCTATTTTTATTATTACATGCATGTAATGAAAGTATCCAAACACCATCACCATGCATATATACTTAAGAGTTTGGTGTGTGATTTTCAGTATTATTAGGTGGTTTAATTAGCCTTTAGAGACAAGTAATGGCGGAAATGAGAGGGGGGATTAGTCAAAATCAAGAGCTTAAAAGCTTGAAAATCACAGTTGTAGTTGGTAAATGATGAGGGACATCTCGCTTCCCTAAGATACCCACCCTCCTCCATTTGTCAAAGATTCGCGTGCAAAGCATGTATGGGCAGGATGAGTGTGACATGACATATGGTGTTTTTAGCTTTAGCATTTTATTGACCACGCAGAAAATAAAAACAAGAACAAAAGCTTCTGTTTATATGCATGAATAATTAGTACTAATCCAAAATCATAAGACATAAGCATGCTTTTTCTCAAGGCTTTGCTCATTGACATGAAAGATATGCATCATCACATCGATCCCATTTTTACAATTTCACACTCAAAAGACCCAATTAAAAATAAATTCATTCATTTACTTTTTCGCATAGTTGTTACTTGGATCGAATAAATGTCTTTTCGTTTGACTAATAATTTCTTTTGTTGTATATAGGGGTACAAAGATTTAGGAGTTGTTTGCCCTAAGCCATTCATAGATCGACAAAATTCCAATCAGCTAAAGCAGATTAGTAAAGCAGCAACCTACTTGTTTAGGTTCCTTGATAACCTAATCAATTGGAAATGACCCAATTACTGTAATGTACAACCGGGAAGTTAAATGAAACAACGACGAAAACTCCTAAAAGAGAAATTGATCAAAGGCATTGGCGAGATTTAAATTAATTTGAGATGTTTAATTCAACAAATGAAATCATCACAACATAATATAACAACGTCAACTTTTAGAGAAAATCTTGATTTTTTAAAAGTGAGAAGGAACTCATTCATCAAAACAAATGGGATCTTCACACCCGTCAAATTTCAAAACAAAGAAAGTTAAAAAGAACGTGAATGAAGACTAACAACCAAATTTCTTTTTCATTGTTTATAGTTTATATAAGGGCACTGAAAAATCCTGGTGGATTTGTCTTACCCATTTTTGTCCTGATGCCGT